AGACTTCTGCAAAGAAGCGGATCTGTGTAGAGGCGGTAGCTTGACGTTTTTCTAAGTTATTTAAGTAATAATAGTATTAGCCCAGATGGTTGCATGTGAATCTAAGAGCTATTTCTATGACGCTGAAGAACTTTGGTTCCAGATGGTTAATATCCTATACAAGGAATCGAAATTTATTTACAGGGAAGGTAGTAGATTCGGTTTCTAGAATGAGACATGAGTTGTTGAGCACGTCCTAGCATTTGCTTATATAATTTTACAGGTATCCAGTGTGGCATTGCCCTTATCGGCTTTCTTAACCATAATGCCATTATTTACTTTTAAACATTGAATCGCTTTAAATTCTATGGCGGTTCAATTATTTTTAAACCCTTTAGTGAATGCTGTGATGAGTTTAATGTCTTTTATTAAGGATTTTATTTAGTCGTAGTATCAAGTTTACGGGAGACTTGAATTTTTATGCTGGATATAGTTTCTTGCAAGAGTAAAGGTTTAATACTAACACTGAAGTTTGAGCTTTTGCCTAAAAGAGTCGTCTGGTCCTTCAACAGTTTGACATTTTTTGTTTATGGCAATTTTATTTTAACTGTTATCGGAGAGACTGTTATCGTAGGCACTAGTTTCTTTAACAAGCAGAATATCTTGTTTCTTTACGTGCGTCGCGCCGTCTCGTAAGAAGATGTTGTAGTTCTGTCGGCGGAGATTGTGCATTAGGTTGTGATTATTTCTCGGTTATAGATTGTTCTTCTGCTTCGCTTCTTATTGACAAGACACAGCTGCTTCCTTGTTTGTGTAATGCGTAGTCTCATCAATCCTTTTATCCACCCTCCTAATCGGGCGCCATTCTCTGTCAAAAGTTGCGGATAGCCTGTATCTCAAAGGAATTCAGCTGTCAAGTCGTGATCTCAGCATCTGAGAAGCGAAGTTAAATCGTTTTTGAGTTGAGAATACCATCGCAGTTGTGTTTACACTTTGTATGAAGAGAGAACAAGTGATTTCTATTTAACAACCAATTTATTGGATCAAACGGCATTGGCCATCATCAGGGTAATAAAGATCGCCACTGATGATTAGATGTATTTGGTAAAAGCGTTGGTTGGGTCAAATGAATGTCGTTTTATTTGTTTTTGCGCATGCAGCCGTGAATGAAATTATTTACGAAGATGTTTCTTAATTTCTCGACTGCTAGGTATTCTTGATGGAAGTAAAAATGGAATTTTTCTGTTAAACCCGTAATGTAGCAGAAAGATTAATCATTACACTGAATTGTAAGCAATTTTAAAGAATTTTCTTGCACATCTTTTGTGCACATGACCCAGCTATTGATTATTTGAATTTTTCATTTGATCAAGCTTGTTTTAGGCGTAGTGCTGGTGATCAAGAGCGAGTGTGAGGTTTACTCCGGTCATCTGCGTGACCCAAAGATGAAATCAGCATTGCTGCGGGCACTGTTTACTATCGGCCTTTTGTGTCGCTATTTTGATTTCGATTCTTTCTACCCAGAAGACAAAAAGCCTCAGGTTTGTGATTCATGTTCTTACTTTTATCTCTCTTACTTTGTTTCTTACGCCTACCGTAGTATAACGTTTCCTTTGTAATATTGTGTCAGACATCGAACAGCTGCTATGGCATGGGCACGTGTTGCAAATGTTTCCAGAAAGTAAGGCGAAGCTGCGATTTCTTGCCCAGCCGACGGGCAGAGGACCTCAGGAATGGCTAAGATTAACCTGGTGCAAATGTATCGAAGGAATCTGCTTTAGATTGCAGTAGTATTCTGCCGAAGTTCAAACGCTGCCACAAGATTGGGAACGTTGGACGCGCTGTCTCTTATGTTTGCCTCCGTGACCCGAAGAGACAAGCGGTCGGTGAAATTGATTGATTGAATGACTGACATCGAATATCGTCTTCAAGAATTTAGTTTACATAACTGACCATTGGATTGCTGCTGTGATGGGACTCAACGAGGTTCGAGATATCGTTGATTGCGAGGCGCTCGTTCTCTGTCTGGACAGATCAGAATTACGATAGTTTAGACATGTGGTGAAGGCGGCACATGATAGTCCACAGATTCTATGATAATTCCATTATTCAGAAGATATTTCATTGTCACCCCTTGAAATTTACAGCACTAAGCCGCTATTCATTTGGATTGACTTAGGTTATTGAATATTCTTCATGAAACAACTACTTTTACGACTTGATTAAAGTGGCAAGCTATGAAAATAAATGAATAAATCAGCAGTCGAAACTGGAGTTCGAATCTCGGTGAGAATCATTACT